CTGACTTAATATGTAATAATTGCTTTTTGAAAATTATCAGATATTATTTTAGAATATCTAATTTTAAACATTTGAAACTTCCAGGGGATCATAAATGCCTGTTTTTTAATTAGTTTTTTTGTAAAACCAATATTCTTTGTATCAACTAGCTATCACTGAAAACTTGTGTGATTAAGGACATGCACATAAATATATGTCTATCTTTTACTCTAAGTTGCTCTGTTTATAATAGATCACAACGCTTTCTCTGGTATCTGAGTAGACTTGCTTGTGAAAATCTGGCTATTCTATTATAAACATGGTGAAATCATTGAGCATTAAAATAAATTGTTTAGACTGTGCTTAATAGCAGAGTTTTTGTAATGAGTAGTACTAGGAGTTCCTGGACACACTCCAAATTCCAGGATTTGGAGTCTTTCAGATGTAGTTTTAGATGATAGAATTAAGTCTAACACATCTCAATAAATACTTGTTTTGCAAAAATAGAGTTTTATGTTAATTTATGTTCATGTGATAAACTTCATTTTCTTATATATTAAATAAAGCAATACTCATAGTCAGTAGTTCCTTGTAACTAATATATTGTAGCAGTTGTGTGTGGGGGAAATCAAACTGTCTTTGTTTTTTGTTTGTACAGGAAATATATGTACAATTGTAAAAATATTTTAAATACTTTTATTTTTCATTATGGAGTACTTAAAGTGCTTCAATTTTAACTCACATGAAAATTACTGAAATTACTATTTTTTATTTGTTTGCTTTCTTCTAGTGGCAACAGATGTCTTTAATTCCAAAAGTTTGGCCATTCAGGCCCAGAAGAAAATTCTTGGCAAAATGGCCTCCAAATCAATAGCAACTGCTCTGATAGATGACACCAGCAGTGATGTGTTGGATGAACTCTACCGAGTGACAAAGGAATACATTCAAAACAAGAAGGAAGCTGAGAAGATAATTAAAAATCTCATTAAAACTGTTATCAAATTAGCAATCCTGTACCGGAATAACCAGTTTAATCAGGAAGAGACTGTACTTATGGAGAAGTTCAAAAAAAAGGTTCACCAGTTGGCTAAAACTGTGGTGAGCTTCTATCAAGTGGACTATACCTTTGACAGGAATTTTTTGTCAAAACTGTTGAATGAGTGTAGAGATCTACTTCATCAAATAATTCACCGTCACCTGACTGCAAAATCTCATGGACGGGTCAACCATGTGTTTGATCATTTCTCAGACTGTGAATTTTTGGCTGCCTTATACAATCCATTTGGATCTTACAAGACTCACCTCCAAAGACTTTGTGATGGTGTTAACAAAATGCTAGATGAAGGCAATATTTAATTGCATCAGTATCAGTGGATCGTGTATTCAAAGGCTGAGGATTGCTGGTGGTCTTAGGGAGTCAATGAAAGAATGAAGAAAGGCTAGATAGTGTTAGGTTGGTGTAAGGAAGAATTTAATATCAATGGATGCGTTGAAAATTCTTCAACACATTGACTTATTTATTTGGAATTACCTATTGCTGTTTCCTTTTTTTTTTTTTTTTGGTAATACTATGCTTTAAAATATGGATTAATAAAGCCATAAAACAGGACTATTCAAATGAAATAGGACTTCATAAAATAGGCAGGGATAATAAAACGTCATATTCTAAAAGTATAAGAATTTTAATAATCCGCTACTTGCAGAGAGCTGTGCTACCTACATTGAATGAACTTAAAACTGAACAGCTTTAACAAAACCTTTTTTTTCCCGATTCATTTAAAACTGCACTATGCGTGAATGTTTAAGTCACATTGTTATAGTTATACTATTGAAACAGTTAACTGGCTCTTTGAGCTGTAGAGCATCCTTTTTTAAATGTTCAGGGCTTCCACTAGGAAATAACTAAAGTGGTGTGAGCTACTATCTCCATCATCGTAGTATCCCATATTGATAACATAGTCTTCACGTTGCTGTCCTCTAGTTATTTTTGGAATAAGCTTCCCAGGAGAAGAGACTGTGTTTCACACAATGTGCTTCTGAGAAGCCCTGAATTAAATACGTACTTCCAGGGCAATAACACTGGGCTTCTTTTACATGGACCTTTCTTTAATCATCTTTATGGTTTGATTTCTTCTTCTGTTCTGGAATGGTTTTGTATTACTTATCAATGTGGTAGGCATTTGACAATCACTGAGGATTTATAGACATCCCCCACATCCTAAACATGCCTAATAGCACAGTGTCATATATAGTTAAAAGTATAATGGCTTCCGGTTACATTTTATAGAAAAATGTGCTTCCAGATTAAATTGTTCAAGAAAGATGAAACTGGAATATGTGTGTTATCCACATATATGTATATTTCTAGAACAAGATGACAGAATGCAGTGATCCTTAGAAAAAGATATGGGTAGTAATCTGAATCTAGAAACGAGTCTGTGAACCAAATTTTTAATATTGTGTAATTTTGTTTTATTCAGAAACCAGTGTATATGTAATGTAGGGTAAATATATAGCAAATGTTGGAAAAATATATTGTAGCAGTTTGAATAAGTTTGTTTAATCTTCAGACTATTGAAAAAATGCTGAACATGTAATGCTTTACACTTCTGTAAACCAACAACTGGTTGAAAACTTTTACTTTTTCTTTAATTGTCAGATTTTTTAAAGCTTTGTGAGTAAACAGAAGAACATTTGCACTCTTAAGTTTTATGCATGATTTTCTGTGTCGCGAGAAATTCAAAAATAGACATGGGCAATTTAATAACATCCAAATTGATTTTTAACATGGCTTTACAATTTTCCATTGATTACTATACAGTACTCCTTTTCTGCTATGACTGTTTTTTTTTCCTCCTCTCTCTCTCTGCAAATTATGTGCTTTTAGCATTGTCAGATGAATCAGATTGTCCCCCCTCACTGGCATAATTTGTTATATTGAACTGAGATAGGTAGAATTCCAAGCAAAGAAATCCCCAAGTAAAGACCCACTAGAAATTCAGATGTTATCGAAGTAAGTGTGGCTGTTTTGACTTTTAGGGGAGTATAATATTTTAAGACTGCTGTTGTAATGAGGAATTTATTTAGATGGGCCAAGGACTGAAGTGGGTAGGGCTGCATCAACATGTGGGTGGATGAGGGAGTTCCCTTTTTTCTCCCTTTCAAAGCAGGCTCTACCCTCCCCCTTTTAAAAAACAAACCTACATTAAGCCCATTTTAGGGCTTATATGAAAACTGGGTTTTTTTGTTTTTTGTTTTGGTTTTTTTGCCTCAAAATGGCAAGAGTCTATCTGGTCTGTTTGTGGTTACACCCCCAAAATTTCCATTTTATTTCACAAACATATTGGGGTATTTAAGCAAAATATAACCCTGTAATATGTCATAAAATATTTTAGGTAGATTATTAATAAAATGCTATAAATTTCTTTGATTCCTTGATTATTTGTATGCTTTACAAATTACTTTAAAGGGTGTTGGTTTCAAAGAATATTATAAACCAAAATGCCATCACTCTTCTACTGTTCTCTCTGTTTATATGACCTTGATGTCATTTCCCTCTAATTCAGTGTTTTTCAACCTCAGCAATTTTAAGAGGGGTGGACTTCAACTCCCAGAATTCCCCAGCCAACTCTCAATTCTGGGAGTTGAAGTCCACCCCTCTTAAAATTGCTGAGGTTGAGAAACACTGCTCTAATCATTCATTTCACTTCCTTCTACACCAAAAAACCATGGTTATCTTATTTATCAGGAGGACATTTCAGTTATATATTATATAAAGGCTTCTGCCACAGTTAGATGTATCCAAAATGCTTTTACAAATCTTTAAAATAGTACAAGACATTTTTAACCACTGTAATCACCCTATGTCACTCTTTACTACCAGATGCTGCTGACCTGAATAAACTCTACATTGAGGGAATCCGATACACTATTCAGTGAATCTCATGATTATCATGTATAACAACATTCTTTCTAGCATGTCCTAGCATCTTTTCCCTCATTAAAGGTATGGCATTTCCACAGAAAATCTAAATAAAGACTTTTATTGGCCAAGGTACAGTCTCTTATAGAACACTCTTTTTCAGTGTCTTGTCTTTAAAGAAGACTGATTTTATTTTTTTGGTTCTTGTTACTCCCTCCTCCTCCCATCATTAGAATAGCATTTGATGTTCAGTCCCCTGCATTCCATATTTTAAAAAATGTGATTGATAATCACTTTGGAATAAAGGATAGCCATTGCCATACTTTTAGCTGTTTCCCTTCATTTCACATCTTCATTAAACACCACTACATATTAAACTACAGAAATTTCCTGCAGGTTATGCCCAATAGAGCAAGCTCTGGACAATGGCTAACTTGTCCCTGAGAAGTTTTTAATAGCCAAAAAGCTGCAACATGGCATGTAACTATATACTGTAGTGTGTATGTGTGTGTATATACAGTACTGTGCAAAAGTTTTAGGCAGGTGTCAAAAAATGCTATAAAGTAAGAATGCTTTCAAAAATATATATTGTAATTGTTTATGTTTATCAATTTACAAAATGCAAAGTGAGCAAACAGAAGAAAAACCCAAATCAAATCAATATTTGGTGTGATTCTTCTAGCTACACTCACACACAGTTTTTGAAGGAACTCAGCAGGTAGGTTGTTCCAAATATCTTGGAGAACTAACCACAGATCTCCTGTGGATGTAGGCTGCCTCAGATCCTTCTGTCTCTTCATG